TGCAGTGTTTTCTGTGTTATGTAAAATGCAGACAGGTCCTTGGTGGCAGGTGTTGCTTTTCTTACCTTTTATAGACCTTTTAGAAGGAGTCAGTGGCCTGGCCACAGGCTGCAAGCCAGAGCATTAATCATTCCCTTGCACCTTTAGGTCCATAGTGGTCCCTGAGGATTTCAGAAGAACTCTGAATGGCCACAAGGTTCTTCCAAGTAGATCAGATACAGGACCAAGACCTTAATTGTCCAACAGTGATGGTCATTTTGCAAAGCAGTTGAGGTAGATTTATGGCTTAAATTACTTGGGAGCAGAGCAGGTCAGTAGGAGGGTGGCACTGTTTTAACCCACAATGATCCTTTGGGTTGGAGGTCTGCTGTGTTTGAAGTTTGAAAGTAATGCTGGGCTATATATGTTAAATATTAGAAATACCATAGAAAATTATTGAATGATTCCTGAGGTTAATAAAGAAAAGATTGTATAAAATGTATGTTATTTCAGTTGAGAACTGTGTATATTTAATACAAAAATATCCAGAGCTTCATTTAGCTTACTGAGCTGAGTGACATTAATACTAGGTCTAGCATCCCATTAATGTGAGGCACTGTTGAAATGGTAGTGACTATGGACTGGACTAATTGTCATAATTATATAGATTAATTCTTTTAGTTCTCAGCAGATTCTCTCTGCTCACATAATTGAGGGTATAGGATCTTCCTGCCTTGAAATATTTGCACAGTAGTTCTGTGTATGTACAATTCAAGACTTAGCCAACATAAGTCCTCCTGTTACCACTGGTTTCAGCACTGAAGGAACATTTTTGCTGTAATAGCACCGAGTGATTTTATTTCTGACAAACGGTATGGGAACACTCCCCAGCGGGGCTGGCACTGCTGAGAGCTCGTCCCTGACAAGAGCAGCTCTGCAGGCGCTCAGGAATGAAGTGTACACAGGCTGGGGGGACTGGGGGGACTGGGGGCTCCCGGGGTCCCCAGGCCTGGGTGGCACAGTTTGCTGTCCTCTGTGTGGCTGTTTGTGCATTCTGCCATGCCAATGGCTTTGTGCCAGTGGCTGGAGGGCTCTGTCGGCACACCTGAGCCCTCGGCTCCACCCGTCAGCGCCAGAGGAGCAGCCGCAGTTTCACCCCAAACCCCACCTGAAGGTCCCTCCCAGTGGTCACAGGCAGGAGGTGTCCTGCTCCTGACAGGGAAATGACAGCTGCTTTAGGAAAAGAGGAGCTTTCTGGATTTATTAGTCCTTTGTTGGCAGCTTATTTGCTACTGTACAGCTTTTAAAAAAGGTGTAAAAAATTTTAAAAGGTGAGAAAATGGAAGAAAACTTATACAGGAAAACAATTCGTAGAAAAACAATGAACAGATACTTGTTTCAGAAAAGAAATGCTTTAAATGGTTGCTGCTTTGTTTTCTTGGAAAAACCTTAGCAGAGCCAACTTGCCAATGTGAACCATGCTCATAAGGATAGGTTTGGCCCAAACATCATTTAGGAGGAAAAAACTCTTAATAAAAATCAAGGAAATGGGTGAATAGGTGTTGTAAGTCACATGCTGTTCTTGTCAGAGTAGAATCCGTCTCCCAGCATAGGGTTTGTAAAATATGACCCCAAAGGCTCCCATCTTTCAGGGGAAATGTAAAACTTGCCTCTTCTCTCATGACTATTGACGTTTTCACAGTGTATTAAGCTCTTAAATCAGAAGAAAAATCCAGATGGATACAAACATTCTCTGCACAAAAATCATTATGAAATTCTGGTTCTACTCAAAAGCGTGCAAAAAATAGATGTTTATACACAATTCAGTATTCCTGGAACATCACTGTTGCTTTTCAAAATTCACTGCACAATTGGATGTGACTGAATACAGACTGGAAAAAAAAGATTGTTGCTGTTTTTCAGATCTCAGGCAGACATATCTCCATTTTGAAAAAGGAACAGTTTTCTCCTGCAGCTTCACATATTATATGCTATAGTGTAGATCTGTTGAGCTGTGTTCACAGTGGTCAGAGGCCCAAAAGTTTGCTTACAATTCAAACTAGTGCCAAGCTGTCTGTTCTGAAGGGATGTCCTCTAAGAGAGGGGGTTCAGGCCAGTTCCAGTTGACCACTTGTATTTACATAAGGAATCTTGTGTTCTGGAGTAAGTCAGCAGTGCAGTGGAGCTGGTGTTAGTTGCAGCCAGGCTGTGTTGATCCTGCGTGCTCTGCTCTGCAGTCCTGTCACAAGGAGCCTCTGGCACAGGCAGGCGATGGAGAGGTGCCTCCCTTTGCCAGCTGCTGTCTGTCACTGAAGTTCTCCCAGCAGATGCCTTCAGTCCTTACAGTTCTGCCAAGTCTTTTCTGTAACTCCAAAGGCATCAGGATCTCTTTGCTGACGCTGTTAAACTTGCTGAAAGAGGCACATCCATCCACAATCTACTTAGAATGATGCCAGTTCAGTTTATCAGGATATTTGCTCAGTTGTCCTGTGGGAGCCAGGCCTCAGAGTGATTGGTGCATAAAGAATGATACTTTTTTTTTTCCCTGAAGACATAGGGCTGCATTACAGTAAATGCTTCCTCGATATCCAGTAGGACTGAACAGTTTAGGAGTCTTGATAATACTTGGAGTTTTTCTCCTATACATTCCCAGTTGAAATTAAATCCAGTTGAGCAGGTCCAGTATAGTGGCAGCTGTACATCAGCTGCCCGATATCCTGTGTCAGAGGAGTTAAAATAAGTCAAATTGTTGCCTTAGATATGTCAGTACATTGTTCTCATCAGCTGAGAAACCAAATATAAAGTGGATCAAGAAGGAGAATCTCTCATTCATGAGCTGAGTAGATCCATAGGGGTCTGTGTTGTTTCTGTCTATGATAAAATTGTTCATTAGAGACTTTGGAAAGTGATGTGCATCGCCACTGAGTCTCTTGTACAAGTCCATCACCCATTCCAGCTGTAAAAATCCTTGCCTCATGTGCTGATGGCCAGAAAGGGTAGATCTGAAGGAGCCTGGGGGCTGCAGGGTCACAGAGCAGCTGAGGTGGGACTTGAGTGCAGGGGTGTACAGAGACCAGGCTCATGATTACAGCTCCAACACTTCATAGGGCTCTGGAGGGTAGAAATGACCATACCATAACTGTGCAACTTCAAGGTGTCTGATATAAACAGGGGTGTATATCTTCCCCCAGAACTGTTCAGTGCTTGCACATTTTTGATAAGATCCTGTTAATTTACCAGCTGTTTTGCTGATGCTGCTGCTTTTTCAATAAGTGTGAGAAGATGCTTGTAATGTTGAAGTTACGTGTATTAATTTTGGTTTATCTCTCTTCCTAGCTAAGAAGTATAAAAAGGTTACTGGGAAAGAAATCTACTCTGACACTTTAGAAAGCACACCCATGCTGGAAAAAGAGAAGTTTCCACAGGATTATTTCCCTGAGGTATGTACAGAACTGTGAAGCATTTCCAAATACTAGGATTTCCAAACAGTCTGATTTCCTCTGACTACTCTTGAGCAGCTCCTCTCAGTGATAAAGGCAAAATGGAATGTGGCAATTTTGTCTGTTTCTTGACACCTGTAATACGTGTTTTAAGTCATGGCATGATGTACCAAAATCCAGTAAGAAATGCTGGCGAAGCGTGAGGACAGTGATGAAAGGACTGATTTGTGCATGTAAAGGCCAGGCAGAGTGGCAGTGTGCCATGGCTGGTCTTGTCAAAACGAGAAACACAAGCAGAGCTGAGGGCTTTCTTGCACTGCACCTGAAAGTGCAGACTCTCTCTTCTTTGATGCTTGCTTTAATTTTCTCTATTTTAATTAAGAACATCTAGAACCTGGGTGTTTAATTGGAAATGTTCTCCTCAAACCAACTGAATAAATTTGTTGAACTCCTGTAAAATTTGTGGATCGAACAGGCATGTCACTAAATAAAAGGAAGAACTAAATAAAGTCCTAAAATTAATTTAGAATTTGTAAATATACACACTTAGAGATATTTACACAGTGCTTGTGTGCTTGGCAGAGCATTTCATAAATAGTTATGGGATTGATAGGATAAAGGATGTTCTTTTTCTTGACTTTGGTACTAAATTATTTATTTTTATATCTCAGTACTGGAAGGAAAAGTGCCTTTGACATAATTTTGCAAAGCATTGACTTCCTGTGAATAAACATATCAAATACTTTGAAGCTAAGTGTTCAATCACATTGAGGGAGCTGGAGCCATTCCTCAGGTGCTTGTTTCCCCTCCGTGGCTGTGGTAGTGCCTGGCAGTGCTGTGCCATGGCTGAGAGTGCTGCAGAGCAGCGTGAGTGCTGCCAGCGTGCTTCAGCACCAGGACAAGCTGTGCTGTGCCCATTGATACTCAGGGAGAGCTATTTCCTCCTTTATTTACTTCACTGCTATTGCTTCACTGCGAGACTGGCAAAGCTGTAACTTTTCAGCATTGTTTATTCCCCCTCTTGCATCAACAATTCTTCACAGTCTCTTGGAGCAGTGGTTGAGTCTTAGGGATCTCCCATGTGGTTTAGTGGAGAAGGAATGGTGCTCAGAGATCAGATGTTCCCACTTCATTTGCAGCTGCAGCTCCTCCTCAGTACACCCTCCTGTGCTGCTTTTGGGATGAGACCTTGGCGCCATGGGGACTGGAACCTGAGGAGCAGCCTTTGGTGACACCCTCATACTGCTCCCACTGGCTCCAGTGCCTTAAACAACTGTCCTAAGCAGAACCCTCTGTGTTTTGGTTGTCAGGGATGCTCTTTGGTTGTCAGGGATGCTCTTTACCTGGAGGAGGAGCAGACAGGAAAAGAGAAAATCTGCAAATATATGCAATTAAGTAATGAACATA